AAAGAGAGCGAGACACCAGAGACCAGAAAGAGAGCAGAGAGAGAGCAGAGAGAGAGCAGAGAGAGGAGAGAGAGAGTAGAAAGAAGAGTGGAGGAGGAGGGACACGGCTGGAGGACAGAAGGTGATTTTCCAGATTAGTAAAGGCCAAAGGAGAGATCTGATAGGGAGTGGTCTGCATATCTCGACAGACGGGAATCCTAATGTTCACTGCACTGTGGCGAAAGAGAGATGATGGAGGATAAGGAACGACAGGAGAAAGTATTTAAACTGGAACAGATTTTAGCTTCAGATCAGTCTCAAACAGACATCAAAGAATAAAGGGACAGTGTGTCATCTTTTCATTTTAAATCACATCTGCATGAGCCCAGAATGAACTGCACACAGATGATGGACCATGCTTCAGATACAGTCTATGTGATCCAGGACTGAGGCTGTAGACCCAGGACTGAGGCTGTAGACCCAGGACTGAGTCTGTAGACCCAGGACTGAGGCTGTAGACCCAGGACGGAGGCTGTAGATTCAGGACTGAGGCTGTAGACCCAGGACCAAGGCTGTAGATCTAGGACTGAGGCTGTAGACCCAGGACTGAGGCTGTAGATCCAGGACTGAGGCTGTAGACCCAGGACGGAGGCTGTAGATTCAGGACTGAGGCTGTAGACCCAGGACGGAGGCTGTAGATTCAGGACTGAGGCTGTAGATCCAGGACTGAGGCTGTAGACCCAGGACGGAGGCTGTAGATTCAGGACTGAGGCTGTAGATCCAGGACTGAGGCTGTAGATTCAGAACTGAGGCTGTAGACCCGGGACTGAGGCAATAGATCCAGGACCGAGGCTGTAGATCTAGGACTGAGGCTGTAGACCCAGGACTGAGGCTGTAGATCCAGGACCAAGGCTGTAGATCTAGGACTGAGGCTGTAGACCCAGGACTGAGGCTGTAGATCTAGGACTGAGGCTGTAGACCCAGGACTGAGTCTGTAGACCCAGGACTGAGGCTGTACACCCAGGACTGAGGCTGTAGATTCAGGACTGAGGCTGTAGATCCAGGACTGAGGCTGTAGACCCAGGACTGAGGCTGTAGACCCAGGACTGAGACTGTAGACCCAGGACTGAGGCTGTAGATCTAGGACTGAGGCTGTAGATCCAGGACTGAGGCTGTAGACCCAGGACTGAGTCTGTAGACCCAGGACTGAGACTGTAGACCCAGGACTGAGGCTGTAGATCCAGGACTGAGGCTGTAGATTCAGGACTGAGGCTGTAGATCCAGGACTGAGGCTGTAGATTCAGGACTGAGGCTGTAGATCCAGGACTGAGGCTGTAGACCCAGGCCTGAGGCTGTAGATCCAGGACTGAGGCTGTAGATCCAGGACTGAGGCTGTAGACCCAGGACTGAGGCTGTAGACCCAGGACTGAGGCTGGGGATTGCAGTAGCGAGGTTTCTATGCCGGTGCAGCTATGATTAGTTGCTTGGAAACGGCAGCAGTTGGACGTTGAGTATTTAATGCACGAGAAGAGCCTCTGAAGTGGTTTTCCTCTCGGTTGTTAAAGATGTTTGAATGACTTTCGATGAAATCACTATATTTAGACCCAAAGGAACGTCACGAGACCAGAGATGAGTGAATCGATGGTATTGGAGGATGAATCAGAATCAGAATCAGAATCAGAATCATTTTTATTGCCAACGTAAGTAACAGGAGGTCACAGACTTGGAAATTGCTTTGGCTCAGTGCAACAGTCAAAAAGATATAATAAAAATAAGAATAAAAAACACTTCTAAAGAATAAATTTAAATTTAAAATAGAGTTACAGTTACTATTTACAATATACAAGTGCACATGGTGCACACAATGTAAGGTGACAGCAGTACAGTGAAGTAAAGTGACGTATGATGGGCAGTAAAGTGACTTTATAAAGGGCGGGGGGACAGGTTACGAAGTGTTCAAGAGTCCAACAGCAGAGGGGAAGAAACTGTTCTTGTGGCGGGAGGTTCTAGTCCTGATGGACCGCAGTCTCCTGCCTGAGGGGAGTGGTTGGAATAGTCCATGTGCAGGGTGAGAGGGGTCGGCTATGATACGACCAGCCCGGCCTCGAGCTCGGGCGGCGTACAGGTCCTGAAGTGGTCCGGCCGATCACTTCCTCTGCAGAGCGCACAATGCGCTGTAGTCTCTGTTTGTCCCTGACTGTGGCTCCAGCGAACCACACGGTGACGGAGGAGGTGAGGATGGACTCGATGATGGCCGTGTAGAACTGCACCAACATCTGTGCAGGCAGCTTGGCTTTCCTGAGCTGCCGCAGGAAGTACATCCTCTGCTGGGCCTTCTTGATGAGGGAGCTGATGGTCGGCTCCCACTTGAGGTCCTGGGTGATGGTGGTGCCCAGGAAACGGAAGGACTCCACAGAGGTGATGGGGGAGTCCATCACGGAGGGTGGGGGCGGGGGGACAGTGCTCTTCCTGAAGTCCACAATCATCTCCACTGTCTTCTGGGCGTTCAGCTCCAGGTTGTTACCACTGCACCAGGACACCAGCCGGTCCACCTCCCTCCTGTAGGCGGACTCATCGTTGTTGGAGATGAGTCCAATGAGGGTGGTGTCGTCCGCGAACTTGATCAGCTTCACGGAGTCGTGGCTGGAGGTGCAGTGGTTGGTGTACAGGGAGAAGAGCAGGGGAGAAAGAACACAGCCCTGTGGGGCTCCTGTATTTATAATCCGAGAGTCCGAGACATTCTTCCCCAGACGCACTCGCTGCTTCCTGTCCGTCAGGAAGTCAGTGATCCACCTGCAGGTGGAAACGGGCACGTTGAGCTGGGAAAGCTTGTCCTGGAGCAGGGATGGCAGGATTGTGTTGAAGGCAGAGCTGAAGTCCACGAACAGGACCCTGGCGTAAGTCCCCGGGGAGTCCAGGTGCTGTAGGATGTGGTGGAGGGCCAGGTTAATGGCGTCGTCTACAGATCTGTTGGCTCTGTAGGCGAACTGCAGGGGGTCCAGTAGGGGGGAGGTGAGGGACTTGAGATGGGAGAGAACCAGGCGTTCAAATGACTTCATGACGACAGACGTAAGTGCTACAGGTCTGTAGTCATTGAGTCCTGTGATCCTGGGCTTCTTCGGGACGGGGACAATGATGGAGGATTTGAAGCAGGCCGGGACATGGCAGGACTGCAGAGAGGTGTTGAAAATGTCCGTGAACACAGGAGTAAGCTCACTGGCGCAGTGTCTCAGAGTGGCCGGAGACACGTGGTCCGGGCCAGGAGCTTTGCGGGGGTGCAGCCTCAAGAAGAGTTGTTTAATCTCTTTAGCGGCTATTGTTAGGCTGGGGGCAGGGCTGATGGGTGGGTCGTTAGAGTAGTGGGGGGTGGGGGAGGGAGAGGTGTCAGGGGCAGCATCAAAGCGACTGAAAAATAAGTTCAGTTCGTCAGCTAGCTTGTGGTCATCAGCACAGGGGGGGGCTTTGGGTTTGTAGTTGGTGATCTCCCGTAGGCCCCTCCAGACAGAAGCAGTATCGTTGTTACCAAACTGCTCCTGTAGTCGTTCTCTGTGCCGGGACTTGGCTGCTTTCAGTTCTTTCCTGAACTGATATTTAGCTGCTTTGTAGCCGCTGCGGTCCCCCTCCCTGAAAGCAGACTCCTTTGCTTTCCTGAGCTGCCGGAGTTTAGCAGTGAACCAGGGTTTGTCATTGTTGTAGATGACCCTGGTCCTTGTTGGAATGATGCTATCCTCACAGAAGTGAATGTATGACGTCACAGTGTCCGTATATTCATCCAAACTGTCTGT